TCGAGACAAGAATTAATTACGTGATGAAGCGACACGAGGCCCTGACGGTCATGAGGCTTTTCGACGAGTGCGAATTGTTCACGAGATACGAACGATCGAATTTCGAGAACAATTGGTACGACAACGAGGAGTTCGCGGACAGAGCCAAGGAGATAGAGATAAAACCAGAACTGACGCTCCACGACTTGGTCCAGCTACGACCCAACGAGGCGGCGAGACTATTCACGCATTTCGACTACCTCGAGTTAGCGGCCTTGGATGAATACGTGGATATCCCCCAAGAACCTAGAGAGCTCTGCGCTTTACATCTGTTCGAGACGATGTCCAAAAAATTTTTCCGAGACTGGGCCACGGAACCCATTTATGAATTAACGGGACTTACATTGGAGGGCTGCTTGTCGATCCTCGATGAACTATCGAACGCAGATTTATATCGTACTTTCTTGGCGGCTGAAGGTTACAACTCTTGATAGCGACAAGCATATTTACAGTATTTTTCATGTCTGATTTATGTCATTAATTTATTTATTTAATGCTGTATTGTTTTCATGACATTCAAATAAATAAATTTACACGAATGAGTTTCAATTTTTCTATTGATTTGAGTAAATTTATCAATACATAATTACATGAATATTGTCAAAAAAGTCTACTATGTATCCAATTGAAAAAGTTGAAATATCCGAAAAAAACTCGACTATCCGTAAACATTTTTATTCTCGAATTTTTCTGTCTTGACGAATCGAATTCGAGAAAGATAAAAATAAAAAAAAATCAGGTAATCGCAAATCCCCAACGAAAATCTTATGCAAAAATTACAAATCGAATTTTAAAATTTTAATGTCCAGTTTATTCGTACTAAACAGATTCATTACATTACATATTAATAAACATAAATAGATTTTTAAATGAGTATTTTCAATATTATAATTTTATTTAATTATTTTAGAACTGGCAGCTCTGTATTTTTCCTCTATATTTGGTATAATTTCTAATTTTAATTCCTTATTGATATTCATGCAAGTAAAATTGCTAGTATCATCAACTGTTTTCCATTTAATACATTTTTGATCCAAAAATGCAGGAGTAGGATCGCTACAATAAAAAATCATTAGATATTTTTAGTGTGAGTAAACTAAACGACGACATATTATTATACAAGTTTACCCATAAATAGCAAAATTGCTCCATAAATTTGTGAGATTTTCCATAACCTTATAACCAGGTGTTCCTTTACGTAAAGATTGAAAGCCACCAAGTTTTCGAAACTCTCCATTGAATAAATATTCTATTTCATCGAAGTGACCAGCTCCTGAATTATTACAGTTTTTTAATCATGCATCATTAGTTTTTCACAAAATAATCATTAAAAATTAATTTTGTTACCGGAAATTTCTAAACTAAGAATACTTTTACTCGTAGATATCTCATCGTCATAAGAGAATTTGTATAAATAAGTTGGACTAGTTTTTTTTTGCACTTGTATTCTAATGGCCTTATGTATTCCTTCTACAAATTGTAAATCGCCACCCATGTCAGCATAAATGTGACAATTATCCAAAGAAATTTTTTCGTCATTGAAATATAATTCTCTAATATCTTTTGGTTTTAAATCATAACTCTTTAGTAGTTCCAAAATTCGTGGATTAAACGTTTTGTCAAAGTTCCTATCCAAATATGAGAATGATTCTTTCGAGAACGCCTTGAAATTGTTTGGATCTAATTAAAAATTAAGCATGATGTTTACGAAATATGGAATTGCATACCTTGTAAACAGCATATTCCTTCTCGGCTATTATATCCTATGATAGCTGGAACATCAATTCCATTTGCTGCGGCTTCTTCAACTGGTATAGGTAAAAATGGATCTTTTGATTTATTATCTATAGAGGGTGAAAAAGGAACCATTGCATGAAACTTAGCCTGAAAAAATATCAGTACTAAAACACCAATAATACAGTCCAATAATTAGAAACTGCTGACTTTGCAACATTTAATATAAGTATTATAAATTAAATTATTTTGTCAGTCAACAATTTTAGTTAAATTATTACGTACTATACTTTTTCTAATGTGTTCTTGAGCTTGAATTAAGCGTAGCGCATCGGTTTTACTTAGTAAGTCAAACATTTGTTTACTATCTTGGCTATACTTTCCCAGAAAAGTGCATATTTTATAGGCAAACTTTTTTTGATCATTAATTCTAGCTCCTGGATTAAATGCTGAGCAGCTTTGTAAAATAATTTTATGGAATAGTCCTGAAATATTTTATTTATTTTAAAATTTTGGTACCAAGTTCACTCTAATACAATTAGATGCGCACCTTTGGACATAGGAGAAACAGCGTGATAATGTGCAGAAATGGCACCAACGCTCTCACCAAAAATTGTCACGTTGTCTGGATCGCCACCAAAATATTTAATATTTTTTTTTACCCATTTGAGAACCATTGCTTGATCTTTGAGACCTTGATTTCCAGGGGCAATTTCATCATCCAAGCACAAAAAGCCTAAATAATCAATCATAAATAATAAAGCATTAACAATTACATCTAATAACTGATTAAAATGCATTACCCATAATTCCGACTCTATAATTGAACGTCACTAAGATAATATCTTTCCTTAATAGATAATCGGGTCCAAAGTGCATGTCATTTCCAGAATCGTACATGAAAGCACCTCCATGTATCCAAACCATAACAGGTTTTAAATTATCTGAACTTATATCTTTTGTGTACACATTTAAATATAGGCAATCTTCGCTTCCCAAATATTTTCGCATCATCATATCAAATTGAATACATACGTTTCCATATTTCGTAGCATCTCTTACTCCTGACCAACTTTCACAGTCAACTGGATCCTTAATAATTAGAGAATCAATAAATACATTAGTTCCAATAATAAACTATTATAGAAATAAATGAGTCAAATCTTTAAAAAATGTATTAACCGTAAAATATAAAAGTAAATGAATTAAATAAATTGTTTATAAGTTTTAAACGAATTTTTTCATAAATAATTAACTACACTGTAGAATAAATTAATCCTACCTCTTCTAAAATGCTCTATCTTTGTCTCGAAATATATGATTCTAAGACAGAGCATTCTATAAATGATGTAAAATTTGTCAGATAATCTTTTAATGTTACAAGTAAATTAAAAGAAAATAAATCCAAATTATTGTAGCTGGTTGTTAATTTTAAAAGCATAATCAAGCTTATTAAGATTATAACGAAAATTTTAATTTTAAAAATTTTTTATAAAGAGCCAATTGTACAAAGACGCTGTTCATGAAAAGTATAAATTTTCCCGTTTATATTGTCATATATATACGTACTATTCTTCATAGAGAGCGTCAATATAAAGTTTAGTAAGTTTTAACTATGAAAGATTAACAGAAAGAAATCTCTCTAGATCATTGAATCAAGAATCAATTGGAGACATTATTTTTAATTTAAAATGTGTTTTATATATCTACCAAATAAATCAATTATAAACTTACCTTGAATCTTAAGGGTCCGATCGGTGGTTTTGCATAAGGTACACCCTTAAAAGCGTAATAATCATACCCTTCATCGCTGTGAATTATTGTACCGCGAATTAGACCATTTTCAATTTTTATAGTTGTTTTATCCATATCGAACGTTTTACTGCAATAGATAGTCGCACTAATGAAGATAGTCTCACTACTAAACGGAAAACAGAAAGAAAATGTTAGACTCGATTGTCCGATAGAGGTTTCCTCACTGAACGATCATCGCAAAACCAGCATAAATACATCTTGACTAGAGCTACTAGAAATTCTTATGAAGTAGTGCCATGCATAAAACATGATTCTATATCGAAAGAACAATTGTCTTTGTCACCTTACGATAAGTTAAGAAATTTAAATTTAAATGCAGTAGTTTTTAAAAGATTTATTTTTTGATTTTCCTCTTGAATAATTTTCATCGCGGGTACGAAATCGATTATGTTAAGAAAAATTTCATAAAATTTATATTTTCAAAGAAAATATTAAATATCTCATCGAACTTATATGGCACAGGCGTGTATATGAGTAGGAAATAACCGTAAACTTTATTGTCTCGATAGTGATTCTCAGTGAGAGGTGATTAATTTCTTGTTATTTTTTTTAATTCATTGAATAAATCATTTTTTAGTTGCTTTAAAGTTATTTAATTTTTCCGCTATAAAAGAAAAGTTACCAAAAGGCCTACCTCGAATCAATGAGGAAAATATTATTGAAATTTGAAACTTTTTCTAAAATTTTAATATTATATAGATTAATATTTTTAATCGCATTAAATTATTAATAGTACATTTTCTCGCACTCGTCCATCTTCAGCAAGAGCTTTATGAATACGACCTCCCGAAAATGCAAAAAAATAGTTTTAATTTGAATATTCATAAAAATAATATGGATTCAAAGTCAATAGCATTAAGTTTAAGAAACAAATCTAAAAATACTAGCAGCCGTCCTCGATTTAAAAAAATATGGAATGACGCTATGGAACTTTTTAGTCAAACAAAGAAAAGATCGACGAGTATTTACCTATTTAAAATAAAAATGTATAGGCATTCAGTCACTGCAATCATTGTCGATCACTGGTACAATTAGAGATAGTATGAAAGAAAATATCATAAAATTTAAAGATAAAAATGAAGAAATGAGATCACCGAAGTTTATACTAAACATGAAAAAATGATGTACAAATATTAAAATGTAAAAAACACAGTTAAAAAAAAATGAAGTCATTAAACGAAGTGCCAAAAAAGATACAGTAGCTATGATAGAATTATTGCGACGTCAATGAACTCGTAAGTTATTATCACTTGTTTCAATCATAGTTAGAGTTAAATTGGTTATAATTCGGTAACAATGAAATAATGACAAAAAACAAATTTTCAGGTAAAATGTATTTTTATTTGCAAAAAAGTTCATTCGTGTACAGTATGATAATAATTTCAAACCGTTATAAAAATTTGCATCGAAAGTTATTTTCCATAAATTTCAACAACGAAATCGATTCCTCGGAATCTTTCACTTTTGAATTTCATGGTGACGAATTTAAATCCTGTACCACCAGAGATAATCGAGGCTGTTGCACCATGCCCATTTGTATGTTGGTCCAAAGCTCGAATGTAAGTGATGTTAGAATAGCCGTCACCGGAAAAAGTTTTAGTAACTATCGTTTTTCTTCCAATTTTACTGGCGTCTTTGGCGATTCTCTCTCGTTGAATAATTCGGTCGCCAGGAATTCGAGTACCAACGAACACGTCATTTGGTCGAGTTACTGCTAGTGTTTCAGCAACAACAGCCAAAAGAACACAAACCAGTACCAATCTCGGGGAAATCATTTTTAATAATTTAAGCTGTTAAATTAAAATAATAATGTAAAATACACCACTACACTTTTGAACTTAATTAGGTTTATTTATAAAACAATTGCAAAGTATCCATTTTTTAATATCAGAAAAATACAAAAGATTCAACTTTAATACCTTTGGATTTTGTGTCGGTTACTGAGTCCAAACTTTCAAATTGATTCAATTTCTTATAAAGCAATACTTTATATCTTTAATGAGCTATACAGATAAGCAATTTTACAGATTTGACTCAGCTGTTAACAGGTATATGGGGATGTCTCAGTGGCGCACGCAAAAGCGCGAAAATGATAAAATTACGATTCTCCCTATATACAGTAATACAAATAATAAAGTGTGAGATAACACATAACGTTGTGTATTTAGTAACTCACCCACATGATATCATAGGTATTAATATTTATTCGTTCAAAATCATTTGAAACGTAACAATCAACCACTGTACTCAATATTTTACCAAATTGGTTGATACAGTCGAATTATCATGAAATTAAGTTCTTGCTTATTCATCGAGGAAACTTTGTCATAGGTCCAAAATCGACTTTTGTCAATTTTTGTGTCTGGTATATTCAGACTACATATTCGGAAACAAGACAAATTTTGAGACTGACGTTTATATTTATGTATTTGTGTGTGCGTGGAATGAGTTTTCTCAAAAACGGAACGGTACGTCCTACTGAAATAAAACTTTTTCGAGCTTCATCCTTAACATGATCAATAATAAATGTAAATTATCTCGATCTGTTTAATAATTCAAAAGTTATTAAGATTTTTCATGTTCTTTATTTTTGAAACAAATTTTTCCTGATATTTTAAACGGTTGAAGAGTACTTCTAATATTGTTGAACAGTGACTGTGCTTTACACAACTGTGACAGTACTTTAATAAAGGATCAAAAACATTAGGATTCATCGATTATTTTAGAAGTTACATCGTTATGAAGAAAAATGTTTCATTTTTCGAAAATTTTAGTTTTCTTTCACGGGGTTGAGAATGATATAAAAAATTTTGGGATAAGAGAAATCGAAGCCATTGCCATCAAGCTGAGACCTGATATGTAATAAAATGTTCCATATACACAAGTATTTATTATTTTTCTAATGTTACATTCGACTGCTCAAGCAACAGATTAAATCTAATAAAAAGATTAAGCTAATCAAAAACATTAGCGAAGAAACTAAAAATCTAGCGAGAGATCGCGACGATTTTTTCATTCCATTTTCCACCAACGACCGTGCAAATTTTCAGCTGCATTTGCCCGTGCTCGCGCGCCTGTATATTTATACAGAGCCGACATACGACGGCTTTCACTTTGACGTATTAGCACGGACTGGAAAGATAAACTTCGTCGACGTATTATACGCTGCACACCATGACACCGATGGTGTGTGTGCGGTTTATCGTGTCGCGTGCGAGTCGTACTTTTTTTTTCTTTCTTTTTTGTTGTTGTTGTTGTTGTTTTGTTTGGGTGTTGTTTCGATACGTATCCGAGCGCTCGCCTGACACGTATATCGTTAATTAGAGATAATCGACGACGCATATATATGCGCGTATGTATACTTTTCAGAGGTAATACCCTGACTCTTTTTTCTATACGTATACTCGTTCTTCGCGCGTTCACTCGCACGCACACAAAAGCTCAGGGGTTATTAGTCAGATGTTTTTCTCTCTTTCTCTCTCTCCTTTTTTTTCTAGAATATACACTTGGTTATAGGAAAAATAAGTGCTGCGTGCATAGGGAAAAATTATCGATATAAAACGTTCGGCATCTAATAACTGCTGCGTCTATAAGTAATGATTAAAAATAAATTTAATGAAAACGCGTGTGGCGTATCGCAGGAAAAAAAAAGCAACATAACAACAAAAAATTCTATTATACACTATCCGAGCGTATAATAGTCCGACAGGAAACTGATAGTTATAATTATACGAGAGAGAGAAAAAGAAAAAAAGCGAGTCTCGATGCGAGCATTGGAATCGGCTAATGTGGCAACTGCCTGAATTCTCTAGGAAAAGTATAAAAATAAATGAATGCATGAAAAAAAAAGAAGAAGTAGAAAAAAAGGACTGATCAACACCCTCGTCGCCGCGAAACAGCTGTCACCGTGTGCGCACTTCTTTTTTTTTTCTTCTTATTACCATTCGTTCGTTTCTATTATTATACACTATGCATTTTTCTTCGCGTACAGCGTCAAAGTAATCGTAGAAAAATTAACGGTTGCCATATACTAGCTTACTGGTGTCGATGGAAAGAAAAGGCACACTTTGACGCTTACACTCGTTATTATCTGCATTCGCGGGCGCGCGACAGTCTCTGGGCGAAATTATTGCACGTTTAGGAATTTAATTGGCCTGTCAGTGGCTCGTTAACCAGTTTCGTCCCTTAATAAACGACGATTGTCTTCTTGTTCTTTTTTTTTACTCTCTCTCTCTCTTTCCCCCTACTTTTTGGGAGTTCTCCGACGTCGTCTACCTTGCTGGTCGCTTCTTTAATAATTCTTGCATGCTCGCTTCGCTCGCTTGCAGAAAGTTGCGAGAATGCTGGAAAAGAGGCAAAATAAAGGCGGTGCGCGCGCGTATTATGATGTCGCGAAGCTTCGTGACAGCTGGCAGGTATACACGCGCGCGGCGCACACACAGGCCTGCAGCAGCACGACGACGACGACGAGCGATTATAAATGACCGAGAAAAGGAAGCTAAATACACGCGGGATAAATTAAGTTTTTGAAACAGTGTTGTAGGTATAATATAGGATTTGAAGGATATTCCATTAAACGCGAGATTATGAGCTCTTTGCGTTACGTTGCGTCCTCGATTTGCACTCGCACATACACTTTTTATATCATTTAATTTTTACTTTCGCGTGTACGAGTGAGCACCACGAGCTCGCAGGTAAGGAAGAATTTTAATATAAGAATTTCTGCTATCCTTGAATTAAAAAAAAAGCAGCGAGGAAAAAAGTATAAAATCAGTCTCTCTCTCTCTCTCTTTTTCTCTCTCGGTTGACAGCCAAATAAAGTTTGTCGTCCGAAACAATAAGTTAGCCTCGACGCGCCATGATCCTCGCGCCCAGTCTTATATCGGTCGCTTTTATATAAATATAAAACAAAAGGGATTTCTCGGGCTCTGCTTGCGACAGTTTAAGCGAGCGAGCGCAGATCTCCTATACGTATAGGCACGCGGAATGCGCCGGAGATCGATTGATCGAGGTACATTTCGTTCGGTCGGTCGGTCGGTCGCGCGCGCGTCCGAGATCGCGACGACTTTCACACCCTTTTGCGTGCGGTATCCTCTGTTCTTCTTCGCTCGCTTGAGTGTGTGTGAGTGCGTACAACAACACACACACACACACACACATATATTGAGAATCACACATGGATCGTCTGAATTATGCATGAGCTTCACACTGTAAACGTTGTTGTTTTCGCACACGCGAGTCGATATCCTTTACTCCACTCTGATCGTTCCTTACCTTTATTTTTTGTTTCTTAGCACCCACCAAATGCCGAGAGGATATTTCTCTCTCTCTCGAGATGTATAGGTAAAGGAGATATGGAGGAAGAAAGAGAGATAGAGAAAGAAAGAGGAGGCTGATTATCCCGCGCCTCGCGTGTAAAATCAAGTCAACGATGAAATACCGTTCCGATCGTCGTCATGACTGCGTTGGCTCGGGGTCTGCCTATATCTCTGTCTCTCTCACTTACTCTCGCGTGCTTGAGGCTGCTGGGTATTAAAGTCAAGGATTATACCTGATTATGCTGCGAAGAAGATCTCAATCGGCATGAAAGAAAAGCTTACATACATTTCTGCGCCGTCTCCAAGTCCGATGCCGCCGCCGCCGCCGCCACTGTTGTTGTTGTTGCGGCCGCCACCGCTGCTTCTGTTTTTCGTTTTGTTCTCTGGCTTCGGATAAAGTCGTATATCGATGCATTATATATTCTCTCGGCGATTTCTCGATCGGAATCAATCGAATGAATCGATCACGATGATTTTTACCGCAGCTCTAGTATATCGACACTGGCTCATTCGTAATTACGCTGAAAATGAAAAATTATTCACACGTGTATAAAGAGGAAGCTAATATTCCAGAGACAATAGGTGAAAATTAGCCCACTATAAAATGAAACGAGCTAGCTTAGTGTACAATACGTGTGAAAAATGCGCAATAACGTTTCGAGCCCGCGTTGCAACGAAACGAAGAGAAAAGAATAAAAGGATATTTTAGGGAAGCGCGTAATGCGCGCGCAGAAAGAAAGATACATCATCCTCGTAATCCTAAAATGCAACATCAGCGGCAGCCCTCAACAAGCTTTTAGCTCGCGCGCGCGCATCGTGTGCATCATCGCTTCGCTTGTCCGCTCTCGAATAATAGGCCACGATGTAATATAGGGGCCTAGCGACGAAGTATAAGGAAAAAAAGGGTTACAAAGCTCGCTCGTATGTGGAAAAAAAATAACAGAGAAAGAGAAAGTATATACGTCGCGCCTCGCGCGCATATGCCATTCTTCGCGCTTGACGAACCTCTTTTTTTTTTTATAAGAAAAGAAAGAAAGTATCGCTGCTGTATACGTAACACACGCGCATCTTTGCATCGTGTGAAAAGTATAATAATTCCGGTGCGAGCGCGCGCGACACACAACACGACACAACACAAAAGCTAATAATATACCCTGTCGGTTTGTAGGGCGAAGGCGTCGAGCGTAATTGTCCCGGCGGTTGGTGGTGTCGGGGCATTCAAGATTTTTCATGCGCGCTGTATATATATAGTCACGCCTCATAGATGAGATAACGTCTCGGCTGCTGCTGAGTGCGCGCGGAGCAGCGAACACAACCTCGAAGATGGGGTAGTAAGGGTATGAAGTAGGAGAGAGAGAGAGAGAGATCGTGAGCGCCGATCTGTGACTCGCGGGATCTCGAGTTTTCAACGCGTAGAGGGTACTTTCTTGAGGGATATAAGTCAGCGCAGCTGGATC